TGGGGAAGGAGGTGCTTTGCTAATATTTATAAGCTCAGCTTCAAACGCAGCGCCACGCTGGCCGGCTCGCAGGGACGGCACCGGGCGTCTCGGGAGCTCTCCTCCGGTTCCCAGCTCCGCCGTGACGAAAACAAACTTTAAAGAGAATGGGAGAGGAGCTGCTGGGTGCGGGGAGCAAACACACGGCGTGCTGGCAGGGCCGGGAGCAGCTTGTTAAAATGCTCTTTGTTCTCCCCGCTGCTGGGCTATGTGGACGAGCAGCAGCAGAGGGGAATCTGGGGTGCGTTTTGCTCCTCCTGCTGCTTCGTGCACAGCGAGGAGCCCCTGCTCAGGGCACGGTGTGATGGAGCAGCACCTGTACGAGAAGCAGAGGGGCTCCACGTGGTGTGGAAGTGCTAACGATGCTGTTACCAACATCATTTTCCATCAGGTAGGCTCGTGGGGTGCAGGAGAGGGTGCAGAGACTCCTGCAGGTGTCTGAGCTGCGGCATCCACCCCGCAGATGCGGCTGAACGGAGCCAGCCTGCTGGGATTAGCCCGGTGCTCTGCCTGAGCTCATTAGCCCTGACTCTTAATTAGCTCCCGGGTGGCCCCGCTGTGACCCCTGGGCTTCACACGTGCAGAGATGGAGCTCGGATCTGTCCCGGCCTCTCCCAGCTGAGCTGGCTCGCTGGAAACCGGTGGGAAAGGACCCCGGGGCTTGCTGCAGGGAGCACGAGGCCAAAACTGCCTCCGAGCAGCACAAAGGAGCCCTTCTCCTCCTGCCTGGCTGCTCTTCCTCTGCCCAGCACGTGCGGGGTTGTGGCAGCCCTTGGGAACACAGCGCCCGCATCCTGCCCTGCCCAGGGCTCAGCTGCAGGCTCGGGGTGCCCGAGCACAGCCTGAAAACATCGCCCTGTGCACCAGCCCCCTGCCACTGCAAAATGTTGCAGACTCGTTGGTGGGATCCTTGTTCTGTACGCCACCCCACACCAGAGGTCCCGGAGCAGTGGTGTGCCAACCCGTGGTGTTTTTGGTACAGCTGGAACCATCCTTGGGAGCCTCTTACCCTCTCCAGGGGGAGCAGACTTGCACTGTGCCACCCTCTGCCACCCTTCTCGTGTATGATCTGAGCTAGGATCACCAGGGATCAACACCGCTGCCTTAATTTGGCTTCCTCTGAACAGATTTTCATCCCAGCAGGACGATCTGAAGGGGCACGGAGCGAGCTGGCTTACTTATAAGCTAAATTAACAATCCAGACAGCGAGGGCACAACGCGTGGCCAGCCACACGGAGAGCCTCCCCCAGGACAAACGGAGCAGGGAACAGGGCAGGAGATGCAATAATCCGCCTGTTGTTTGTTAATTAGCCCTTGATACAGCCAGGGAGACCAGGAGCAAGTCGAAAGTGGTCTGCTTTAACAGAGTAAGCAGGTTTATCATGCCACCAGGCAATGCGGGGCATTCCTTCAAGCCTTTAGGGATAAAAATGAAAATACCTCCAAGTGCTACGTGCTGGCAATGTAGAAAGCACACTACAAGCCTCCTCAGATCCTCTAATAAACGTTTTTTATTCCTATACCAAATACGAGTTGTTAAAAAAACACACAGCATCGCTGTGAAGACGCACGACGGGGTTGTGCTCACACAGAGCAGGTTCTAACGAGAGACACCAAGGCTTTCACTGCACAAACCTGAACTTTGGGGCGCTTTATTTGGGACAGCAGAAAGCAAAAAGCAGAGAGCAGCAGCATAACCCTCTGGAGAACGTGTCTCAGGCCACGAAACACCCTGCATGGCTGTCAGCTCTCGTGCTGGCTGCTGGCACGGCTCGCAACGCCGGCAAACAAACAGCAATGCCTTTTTCTCACCCTCGGATCATTTATTTAACCCCAGGAGCCGCGGTTGCTCTCACTGCTCGCTCGTTCTCCTGCTTTTCCAGCTGCGGATGCAGTGTCAGGAGGCTCCCTGGCTGACACACTGCCACCTGTTGACATTTCCGGGAGAAAAAAGACGAGAATTGGTCCACGGGCTGATTTTTTCACTGCTGGATTTTCACTCGTCTCACCTGGCGTGCTCCTGACCAAAATCACCAATTCTTCATTCGTGAAGTGGCCAGAATTAAAAACCGAACACATCTCCACATGGAAAGAATGGAAAAGGGAATTTTGGATGGCGCAGCACAGTGTTGCCTGCTCAAGTCCCTGCATTTTAGGGCTTCCCACTGGAGCTGCAGGGATTTACACCCCCTCCAAGCCAGCCCCGGGCCCATTTTTATTTGCACAGACCTCAGTGGATGCCTCCTGGCATCAAGGGGATGCTGCAGTAGTCCAAGAACACCCTGTAAAACTTGCTGTCCCTCGTTACCTGTGATTAATGGGGTATTCTTGGATGCTCCTCGCTCTGTTAACCGAGGTAAGCGCAGAGGGAAGGGCAGAAAGCTGCTTTCTGAATAAATCCTGATACAAAAAGGCAGCATCGCCTGCAGGACACATGGAGCTGGTGTAAATCCACTGATCTCAGCCATTCCTTGGCTTTTTTTTTTGCCTCAAAGCACCTCCACCTCCCTGGCACCCCCAGGACAACGCAGCCCTGGGGAAGGCAGGAGGCACCCCGCACTGCTGGCAGGGAAAGGGTGCTGGGATTTGGGAGACCCTCGCAGCCAGGCTTGGGAAAATGCAGCAGGAGGAGATTAAGGACCCTCCCTGCTGCTGTTTTAATAGCAAATATTTTGTTTTGCCAAGGCAAACAGGCCTCTGTGCGGCAGCAGCTCCCGGGGGTTTCCCACAGGCTGCAGGGCCCAGGAGCAGCAGCACCAAGAAATCAGCCCCCAAAAAATGTTCCTCGGCTGCCCCCGGGGCAGGAACACACAGGCACGGGCAGTGTGACCCCAGCCCAAGCAGAAAACAGCCCTGGTTTAAGGCAAAGCAACGGGGAAGGTGCTGGTGAAGAACTGAGGCTGAGCCCCACGAGCCTCTGTGATGGAAACCCACCACCGCAACCCTCAGTTTGTCTGAAAAAATAAATAAAGATGTATTTATAAACAGCACTGTCAGCGAGAGGGCCTGGAATGTGCAGCGAATGCAGGATCCAGCTCCATCTTGTGTTCCTGCCTTTGACATGACAAGCAGCACCACATCTCGTCAGGGCGCAGGCCGGCAGCTGCAACCCACGTACACAACGAGGACATTTCGGGTGAAAACCCAATTTCCCTCTTATCTCTCTCTCACAGGACTCTTCTGTCTCTTCCTACGAGCTGTAGGAGCTCCTTACAAGCACTCACCTCACCGAAAGGACCAGGCAAAGAGGGACTGTCACCTTCCAGGCACGTCTCGCCACCCCCCAGGAGGGCAGGGAGGTGGTGTTGCAGGATGCTCACCAGCTCCTGTCTGAAGGTTTTGGTTCCTAAGCCAGGTCCGTGGGGTTTGGTGGTCCTGGTGGCTTGGTTCTAACCAGCTCCACAAAGCCTGACCCGTCCAAAGGCCTCGATTTGGTTACGCAGCCCCTGGGAGCACCCCTGAGCTCTGGCAGTGGGGCCATCCCTTTAATTCTACAATATTGTCGTATTTAACCCAATTTCTTTCCCTCCCTTAAAAAAAAACAGTGCCTAATGGCCACAAATCCCTGCCTGTCACATCCCGAGGACACACACAGACTGCAGAAACGCAGGCTCAGCTCCACTCTCTCATTTCCAAGATCTGCACGGCAGGTCTGTGCCTGCTGGTCCACATCACCGAAACACCACCCTGATAAAGCCCTTCTCCCCAAAAAGCTGTTTTGAAACAAAACCTAACCACTCACCTACAAACACACCACCCTGCAGAGCACAGGGACTGCGCCTCGAGTACCACCGAGCTGCCCAGACACCCACGGGTGCTCCTCACGCCTTGCTGCACCCGAGGCAGAGCAGGAGCACAGCGCCGCAGCCAAATCCTGACGAAAAGGCCTGGCACCCACGAGATTTTCTTGTTTTAACAGCACCGCTGAGCTCCGGGGCCGTGTCCTGCCCTGCTGCGTGGCGGCACGGCCCCAGCCCATCCAGCCGTGGCTGGAGAGCTGCCTGCTCCCGCAGGAGAGCTGGCGCCGGGGTTTGAATGCGGCGAGCACGGGCTGGGTTTCCGAGCAGGAAAGATGCTCCTGGCATCAGACAGCCACCGTGCAGGGGGAGAAGGAAAGCAGGGCCAGGAGCAGCAAGAGGCACAAATCGCACCCTTTTTCCTCTCTCGCAGCACGGTGCCAAGCACCCACGGCCCCAGCACAGCCGTTTGCACCCCCCAGGGAGCCACAAGGCGAAGCACAACGCACAGACAGCCCCGTAGACGGATTCTCCATCCCCTTTCAGCAGGGTCATGCACGTTTCCACCTCTCCCCGACTCCTCCTGCAGCTCACGCAAGGAGCATAACGCATCCCCTCGTGCCCTGTCCACCCACGTCCCCGTCCCCTCTGCTCATTTCTCCTGAGGTTGCTGAGCTGAGGGTCATGCTGTGAGCGAGGAGGGAGGCTGCAGCATGAGCTGGGTGGCGCTGAGCCCACGCTGGCTGCATCCCCAGGACCCTCTCCCCCCAGCGAGGATGCGTGTGGGAGCGAGCTGCGCTGATCAGCATGCAGGGACAGGCACCTCTCCCTGCTGCCGGCCTTCCTCCTCCTCTTCCACCTCCTCCTCCTCCTCTTCCCGATGACTCAGGGTGCGGGAGGAGGCGGGCAGCCCTTCCTCAGCCACCGAGGCTTCACGCCTCCCTCCTGCCAGCAGCATCCTTCCCACCAGCAGGTTTGGGGAGCCTCTCCCGTTACCTTTGGGGAGCCTCTCCTGCCCTCCTCTGCACGAAGCCACCAAAAGTAGAGGGCTGAGGGTGCCAGGATGGGCGGGTGATGCTCACAAGATGGATGGCACGGGGACACGGTGCCCCCAACCACGCATGGAGGGATGCTGCCCCCAACGTGGGGTGCCCACAACCCCATTACACAAAGGGCACCCCACGCAGGGCTCATCCTGGCGGCGTGGCAGCCCCCGGGGCTCACCTTGTGCAGCTTCCACATGGCGCCCAGCGCCTTGACCTCGTGGCTGGAGTGCTTGCCTTCCTCCAAGCACTGGTAGCAGACGGGGCTCTTGCACTGCACGCAGTACATGCTGTGGTTCTCCAGCTCGTGGTCGGTGCAGGTGGAGATCTTTCGGGGGCTGAGGCGCCGGCTCACCCGGCCTTGAGCCGGCGGCACCAGGCGATGCTTGGCCAGCGGGCCCCGTGGTGGGTGGCAGCGCAGGCGGCAGGGCTCGCAGTAGAAGACGTCGCACTGCTCGCACATCACCGCCGCCTCCTTGGGCGCCTTCTCGCACAGCTGGCAGCGCAGGGCGGCCGCCCGGCCTTGCTGGTAGCGGTCGATGACGGCTTCCAGCAACCTGTTCCGGGGGAAACCTCGCAGGCCGCGCTCGTCCAAGCCCAAACTACGGTGGCACTGCGGGCACGTCAGGCAGGCGCTGCGGGGAGGTGGCGGAGGAGCCAAAGCTGAGGGTGGCGGCGGTGGCAGCGGGGCGGCCGGGGGGAAGACGCGGACGCCGTTGGGGGATTTCTGGCAGGGGGTGGTGGGCGCGCTGGCGAAGCCGCCGTAGGAGCCGTAGCCGCTGTCGGCCTCGCTGTAGAGGCTCATCTTGTCCAGGTCCAGGTAGTCGTAGTCGGAGGCGGCCGAGCCTGAGGCGCGGCGGCTCTGAGGGGACTCGGCCTCCGGGGTCTGCACCAGGATGTTGCGGGCGCACGCCTGGCAGAGGTTGTGCGAGCAGGGCAGGATGATGGGCTCGCGGTAGAAGGAGCCGCACACCGGGCATTTCAGCTCCTCTTCCATCTCTTCCATCAGGCAGCGGGGCAGAGCAGCGGCGCTGCCCGGAGGATGGGGGGGGAGTTTAACGGGGAGCGGAGCGACCCGCACCGCACCGCGCCTCAGCGCCGACTGACGGCCGCCCGCCGCCCGCCCGCCGCGCGGCCCGCTTGGCCCCGCCCCCTCCTCCCCCATTGGTCCAACGCTGGTTGAAGGGGCGGGCGGAGCGCTGCTATTGGTTCTTTCGCCTGTCCGTCAGCCTTTCTGCCCGCCCCCTCACCGGCCGGGCGCTGAGGGGGGCTCGCCTCAGGGCTGCGGCGCCGAGCCGCGGGGCTCGGCGGTGCGGTGGCGGGGGGGGGTCCTCCTCCTCCGCCCGCCTCCGCCCGCCTCCGCCGCCTTCCCCGCCCCGTTACTGTGGCCCCGCCGCCCCGCCGCAGTCCCCTCAGCCCCCCGCGGGAGCAGCCCCGTCAGCAGCGGCTCCTCACCGGCCCCCCGAGCATCCCCCGGTGCCCGCTCCCAGCCCCGCGGGTGCCCCCCAAGATGGCGGCCGCCCGCCGGCCCCTCAGGCAGCGAGCGCGGGTCGGGGCCGTGGTGCCCCCGCTGGGTGCCCGGTGGGCGGCTTTTAAAGCTTTATTCTGTGATTTTGTGATTGTTTCACACTCGTTTCACGTGCGGTGGGCTCTGCGGTGACAGAACCCAGCGCTGAGGGTGGCGCTGAGGTGGGACAGGTGCCTGGCAGCACAGCCCCCTGCTGGCGTACAGCCCCCTCCTGGCTTTTAATAGCCACATCCTCACATTTAATAGCCACATCCTCACATTTAATAGCCCCATCCTCACATTTAAGAGCCCTTTCCATGTCATTCTGCCACTGCAGGGGCTTTGCAGGGCGTTGAGCCCCTGGCTGAGCACTAGTGACAGAGGGCAGTGGAGGAGCCAAAGTCCAAGCAGAACGGGGAAAATTTGGGGGGAAATTTTGCAAAAGATGGGATATGTGTGGAATGGGGGTCCCCTAAGGCTTCTACTGAGACTCCCACCGCTACCCAGAGCAGCCTTTTTCAACCTTTCTTAACCCAAAGGCCACCTGAGGTCTTAAAAATAACCTGGCAACGTGCGGTGCTGCATAGCGGCTCCCTTTCAGCCAGCTGAAAATTCAAATTACTTGGAATGTTTCTGCGTTAGCTTTTATTTCCCTCTCTTTGAAGCACCCTGCCCACGTTTGGGGTCGTGCGGGGCTACAGCCGCTCTGTGGCGATGCCTTTGGGAGAGGAGCCTTGACCTGAGAGCTATGGAAGGAGAGCTTGGAGGCACAGGGGGCCTCTGGCAAGGAAAAGGCTCAAAATTGGAGTTTTGAGGGCTCCAGAAATTTGCAGAGCCCTTACTTGGAGCTCTGGGAAGCTGGGCAGAGGGCTGTGGGGCTCCTAGGTGAGGCTCATTGGAGCAATGAAGTGTCCTCAGAGCCCAGACAGTCCATCCAGGGGAGGCAGTGGTCTGCCAGTGGTTCCTCTGCTTCATACCCAGGGACCGGCAGAGCCTCAGACTTGTTCCTATCCGCCTGTTTGAAGTATTTCATTAGGTTTCCAGCTTCCCTGGTACACAGCCAAGCAGGATGCACCGCAGCCCGGTCCCACGAGAGCTCCTCCGTGGCGTTTGCCAAGCGATGCTGCTGCCTGCGCTCTGTCCTACTGCTGAACGTGGTGATTTATCCCCAAATCTCTGCAAGGAGAGCGTCCTGAAGTGCTGCTCTGCCTGGAATAGCTGCTAGCGGTCTCATCCTGCCTATAACAGCAGAGGGAAGAAATCCCTACGTAGCGTAGGAATCCGAGGGGAGGGCAGCAGAGCTCAGCCACAGTGGCTGTCCATCACCTCCTCTGGGATTTTGCCACCAAAGCCGGGCTGTCCGCCCCCTTTTGCTGACCGCTGTTGCTGAGCCACGCTGTTAAATCTGTGATTTGGGCAGATTAAAGGGAGCTGTCGCCATCTGCCTCGCTCATCCCTCTGTGGGGACGCAGGTGGTGCCAATCCCTTGGGGTTCATGCGGTTCGTCCAGCCAGCAGGTACAATTCCCAGCTGCTGCGTTGGAATTTGGATGGGGGGACGACCACGTGGATGAGCTGAGATGCTCAAGGAAGGCACCGCCACCTCTCAGCCTGATAAGGAGCGAGTGAACTTTTTGTTTTGCCCAAGCAAAGCCGTCGTTCCTCGCTCCCTCTGCCTCCTGCTTCCCTTGGCCATTTCTCATCCCGGCAGCTATGCGATGCCATTTCTGCTTTAGCTATATTTCGATCAGATAAATGGGCAGAAAGGGGAAAAAGCCCTCCATGGGGGAGCGCAGGCAGAGCATTTGGAGGCCACCTTTGCAGCAGCTTACGCCTTCACTTTATTTGACAAGAGGCAAGCATCCCCATGCTCCAGCTGAGTGTTATTTACAATTCTCAGACCCGTCACTGCCCCCAGAGCCTGGTGGCATGCGGCTACGAGCCTGCAATAATTAACCCGACCCAGCTTCCAAATCCATTTGTCTAATATCGGCGATTACACACGGAGGGATCGAGGAGTCACCTCCTTCTGGGTTGCCTCTCGCTTTCCTCCTGTGCCTCTGGCCAGGAGCCTCAGCTTCAGAGACGGCCCCGGCTCCTGCCGCGGGAGCCTTTGCTTTGTCTGCTGGAAATGCAGATGAGCGATCGGGATCAAGCAGGAGGGTATTGATGGATGGGAGCGAGACGGGGTGGTGGGCGATGCGCCCTGAATCATGCATGACGCGCTGCCGCCCAGGAGATCGCATCGGTGCCGCGATTTTTTTTCTGGAAAATCGCAGAAATTGCCCTGCCTGACGAGGGTCGGGGGTGCTCTGCGGTGTCGGGACCCCCTCCAACATCCCCCTCCAGCCTCCTTTGCTCCCACCCCACACCTTTGCTCCCCCAGCAGCATGAAGTGTACAGGACGGGAGGATGGTTGGACTCGGGAAATCGATGACATTCACATCTTAGACACCCGTCACACCGCCAGGACATAAATGAGGGAGCAGAAGGGGTTTTCATGTAGGTTGGCCAGGTTTTGGGTTTGGGGCAGACCCGAGAGCCCACCAGCATCGAGAGGAGGCTTTCCACCGACTTCAGCAGGCTCTGCAGCGACTTGAATCACAAAATATTTGGCATCTGGCTGCTTCCATCACATCCTTGCTCCCCAGGCGATGCCACAGGAGCTGCTCTGGCTGCCGGGCAGCAGCTCGAGCACGGCCTCGTGAGGAACACCAAGGACCATTAGCAATACAACCCTTCTAAATATTTAATGCTCTTTTCCTTTAGCAGGCTGGAATGAAAATCGCTCACGCACACGGTGCCCCTTCCAGCGCCGCGAGGACTTCTCGCCCACGGTGCTGGCAGTGGCCGTGCCCAGGGGTGGCAGCAGCTCCCCGTCACCTCCTGGCATCCTCTCCAAAAAAAAAATAAATGCTTCTGGAGATAAATCAGCAAAACCTCCTCCATCAGGAAGGCCCGGCTGGGTGACACGCCGGCACCTGGGGACATCCGACGGCTGCAGGAGGAAAGCTGACTGCTAAAATGCTGCCTCAGAGCGCTGAGAAATCCGCAAATCCGAATTGGCAGATTACTTTCAAAGGTGTCATTTGCTTATTTATTTATTTATTTTTAACCCCGGGGGCTTAGTGGAAAATTTCGGATTTTAATCAGGAGAGCCAAAGCTTGTTGCTAATAGCTAGGAAGAGAGAACTGCAAGGGTGATTTGTGGCGCTCCTTTGGCCACTGCCTCCCCACTGCCCACTTACTCATCTCCCCCGAGATCCGTGCCCCACTTTTCCACCCCGTGACTCATTTCAGAGAGCAGCAGCGCTGAGCTCAGCGCGCCGGGGCGATCTGGCCTTCCTCCCACAGCGTTCAGCTGTTCCTCAGGCAGCCCGAAGGGGGGCTATTCCCCGCATCTGCAGTGCTGGAGAGAAAATCCTCGGGTTTATCTCAAAGTTCACCCTCGGCAACACCCCGGGACAGCCCTCCAACCCCAAATTCCCATCCTGGGGTGGCAGGGCCAGGTCTGTCCCTGTGCCATCCCCCTGTGCCAGCAGCCCCCCATGAGAAAAAAGGGCACGAGCTGCTCCTCTGCCTCTGCAGCATTCCCATCCAGAGGATTTCCAGTGGCTGGAAATCACCTTCCTCAGCAAGGAACTGTGGCTCATCGCTTTCCAAGCCTCGTTCCACGCCTTCATTTGGGAGAAATCAGTTGCAAAGTTTGGGGCTGATCGAAGTGGGAGACCGACGCCGAATGTATAGCCGCGGCTGGTGCAGCCTCCTTCTCGCTGCCATGGAAACCAAACTAACTAAAAATAAGAAAGTATTCCCATAAATGTCAAAACACACCCTGCTTCCGTGACGCGCGGCGTATATCGGCCCCGCAATCTGCAGTCGTTATGCAACGGCCTTCACCGTTTCGCTAATTACACGGGGGAAATTGGCTCCAGGTTGGGTGTTTTGCATAATTTAGGGATGCAGGCAGGCTGCTCCCGGGGAATATTGGTGCTGTTATCGGGGTGAAAGCACGGACACCCTTCAGTCCTCCTGGGTGCCCACCGGGGCTTCCCCCACGCCACCGCCACCTCCTGCTGCTCCAGCAACTTCAGGCACCTCCGAGTTGGTTCTTTTGGGGTGTTCTTCCCAGACATCTCTTTCCCCCCCCTTTTTTTTTTAATTTCCCTGTTTAAAAGAGGCCTTTTAAAAGCCAAATGCTTTTGGCGTTGATTTTCTGCAAAGAACTTGGAAACCATTGACTCGGGGGCACCGGCTGCTGCCGCTGCCACCCCATTACCCCAGGAGGTGGCACTGAGCGGGGCAGCTCCGTGCCCAGCCTGGCTCCGGGATGGCTTTTTGTTATGTTGGGGATCACTTCTCCCATGCCCATTCCTGGCTTTTTTTAATTTTTTTTCCTGCTTTTTTATTTTTTTCCCCCCTTTTCTCCTTCCTGCTGCCATGGCAACCTCGAGAGATTCTGGGCACGGCGTTGGCCGCAGGAACATCAATCAACAAGTGACACCCCCGGCCGGCGGGGCAGGCAGATCCCGGGGGACATCCCCAATCCCCCACCGGGTCCCCAGCACACAGCAGAGCCCCCCTGGGACCCTCTCCCTCTTCTGGGGCTGGGTCGAGCCCCCACCAAA